CTTAGAGAAATGGAGTTACAATTTTTCAATCATTCCATATACTGTAAAAAATGGCAAAAAAGGATAAGAAGATTTTATCACATTTAAAGTTATAAAATACTAATAAGTAGAAAACAAATAAAGAAGTCTTACCTTGCAATTGAAAAAACAAAACTCTCAAGAATTGGTTAAAGTTTGATATTTTTATGAGCATATATGTAAATTTATCATTTTAAAAAACTGTCAAAACCGTTGGAAAATAAACTATTAAACTCTCAAGTATAAGTTAGGTGTTTTAAAAACCGTTATTAAAAACCTCTCAAAACTGTTACGGTGGTTTACCCTTAAAACTACTATAACTGCTATAGTGATTTATCCTCGTAACCGTTACCATGAAACTCTGAGAGAAGGATTTTTACTACCCCTTATGGGAATATCTATTCATTAAATTTAAATATGGCCAGAAGAATACTAACCAAAAAAACAAAAGAGAGACAAATACTAAGGTCCTTAAAAATCTTAGAGGGTAAAACAAAAAGTGATGTCTGTCAATACTGACAAACCAGAAGTGTAATTGATCTTACAATATAGCTTTGAGTTTTGACCCATTTAATTCTCAAGCTATCTTCCCATTGATTAATGGCGACTGATAAACCTTCAATTTGATTTGGCATACCAGTCAACGTTCAAGCTATCTTAAAACATTAATTACCCTCATCAATGGGATATCTAAAAGATTTTACGTCATAAAATGAAAATTCTCTATCTTCAGTTCAGCCCTTCAAATTTAAAATCTGCTAATGAAAGAACNCATAAATTTTTATTAGGGTGGGCCAAATAAAAACTTTTAGTTCTAAAATTGAGAGTGGGCCACAATTTTTTAATATTTGACAATAAAAATTAAGGGTGGGCCAAAGTCAAACTAAATAGAATTATGTATTTAATTTTTGTTTTTTAAAAATTGACCCACATTTAATACACTTTGGACCTGCCCCTGACTAGGTTATGTCATCTTATATTACTTGATTACCATGTTTGGTTGTCAAGTAATATAAGATATCGGTAATCTTCAAATACCAATAGTGGTTACTATTGGTAATATGTGAGATAATCTGATTAGCTCCATTTTCTTAGGTATTCTGAGATTATCAGAGTTATCTTTTTTTGTTATAATTTTATCTCTTACTAATAAAAAATTTAGACAATAATACCCTTACTTTAAAAAAAATTTACATTAATATCTTATTTCAATTTTACCCTTGTTTAATTAAAATTTTGGACACTAATGCCCTTATAGTTAAAATAATTTATAGACCACCAATGGATCCCAGTCACCATCACCACTGCCACCCAGCCACCACCGCCGACAGCAGACCAACCACCATGGACCGCCGTCGGGAAATTGTCGGAGTCCCTAAAAAGAACGGGATTCTGTGGAAGGCTGTGGGAGGCTTCTGGCCATTTCCGGCCAGATCTCTGGCCATTATCAGTCAGGTCTGGGCAATATCTAGCCGTTAACGGCCGAAAATGGCTAGAATAGATTTGGCCATTTCCGGCTTGATATGACCGTTTTTGGTCACTAATATGGTCAGAAACAGCCATATCAAAGCCTCTTGATCACGGTGAGGTACTCACGGGGACTTTCGGAAACTTCCAGCGGTGGTTTGCAGTGGCGGCAGGAGGTGGGGATGATTTCATCATAAATTAAAGTTTTATATAAGCAGGTGTGTTTTAGCTAAATCTGAAATATTGGGGGTTAAAAAATTATTCAAAAATTAATAATAAAAATAATATTATATTAATATTTAAAAGGGGGATAATTTAATAATTTAAATAATATACCCACAAATTTATTCTCCATAACCAGCTCACCAAACACATTTTTCTAAAGATTCTCAGTAATCTTTCAAGGTAATCTATCTTTTTAGTGATCCAACATTCCCAGTAATCTAACATTTTTTAACCAAACGCTCTCTGAGTTGTTTACTAGTTTATGACAATATTCCAGATTGTAATCGTCTCGAGATTCGTTCGATTCAACTCTTCCAAAGTTATCAGTCCAATACATAAACCGTTTTGTGGTTGTCCATAATTTCATCTAATTATCAATAAACTAACAAAATTGATTGTATTGACATGTTTTATGTTTAATAGTTTTATTATTATTATTCATTTTCAGTAAAAACATCCCACCTGCCCTTAGTTAAATTAAATGATCAATCAGCTTGGAAATTCGGTTTTTAACTGAAAATAATTTTAAAAATTGCAAACTAATTGATAAAATTATGATCAGAGTATTGTATAGTACCTTTCAAGAAACCGTGTTTGGCATCAACCAAGTTAGTAGTTAGTTAAAGAGAAATTAATGAAATTATAATAATAATTCAAATCATATGGCAAAGAAGTCAATGAAAATTTTAATTGGATGAACTTAAGAAAATTGGTCAAGGAAGAGTGGTTAAGGTTTTAGGCAACTAGTAGAATAATGGAGATGGGACGAGTGGTGACTTGTTAGTTGTAAGTTGTGGACCCAAGGCAGCAGGCGTATAAAAACGGTTCTCTTGGCTCATACTTCCCGTGCTCTGTAAATTAACCAAATCCCATTCAAAAACAAGCATTAGCCAGCGAAGCAGACGACAAAACTAATTTCACGCACACAGAGAGAACTCATCGTCATTGTCATCCTCGTCGTTTTGGCTGTCTCTGCTACTGTTATCTGTCGTTGAGGATTTTGCATTCGCTGTGAAATGGCGGATCAGTACACGTGGGGACTGATCTTGGGGTCGGTGCTGGGCCTGGTCGCCTTGTATAACTTGGGGCTCTTTACTTTGTATAATTTTGTTATGAGAAATAAGAGAGATTCGTTGGATACTAGAAATGATTTTTTGAAGAGCACCTCTGCTGTTAACGAAGAATGCGGATCCGAAAATTTTACTGATGCTGACGTCATCATAGTCGGTGCCGGCGTCGCTGGCGCCGCCCTGACTCACACTCTTGGCAAGGTTATTTATCATTCTTTTTGTTATCTTCGTCCATTTTCTCATTAACCAAACGGTGAATTTTTCTTTTTCGGAAACTTTGGAATGTTCTGGCGGATTATGAAGAACCTTGCGCGCTTAAATTGATTGAAACTCGAAAGATTTTTTCTAACTCGGAAGTGAAGAAGTTTTTGTTTTACATAATTGAATTCTAATTTTAATTCATGAAGCTTATCGAGTATGGAGTCATCATGTCATAGAAAACATTCTAAACTGATATGGTCATATGATGATGGTTTATTTTATTAGACTTCATGACGGATTATTTCATTTTCTATTNTAATATTTTAATATATAGATCAGTATCTTGCCAGCTATATATAATTGGTGGTTGCGTTATGGGAATAATAAGTGACTGAGAACTTGAAGACTTTGTCAAGAACAGTTGATTTGTATTGTTTGGAATTTCCTTCACGAAACGAAACCACCCCAAGACAATCAACAATGAAGTTGGTGAAAATATTAAAAAAATCATAATTTTAGAGTAATTTAAAGCAATAAAAGTAAATGGGAAACCAAGAAAGAAAAAATTTATGTCATCTTTTTACCCGGTTGTCTTCACGTAATTACGTGTATAAACACGTGTGGACCCAATTACTTGTAACTAATTGTATGAGTTTTGAACCAATGTTACTAGTAATAGTAATTGAATTTGAACGCTCATAATTTGGCCTTTACCCACAAAGACTTCATTGTGTTGGGGACTTCGCATAATGGCAATATGAACCAACTATGAAGATGCCATGCCGGCGTGTCACGGTCACCCCTTGGTAGGTAGATTGGATTTGTTCCCATTGAGTCTGAACTCTACGTTGACGGGTAGCGTATGGTCATCAATTTACTATTACATTCTTGTGATATAATATGTTACAACAAACAAATAGTGCGTCTGAAAAATTTCAAAGGTTTAGATGTTTTAGTCTTGGTCTTCCATTTACATTTTGGAAGTCGTGTTTATTGCCAAATCCATTACAATTGGTAGTTGGATTAGGATTTAAGAGGTTCATCATAAACTTGGTTGAACTAATTGAACCCAAGCTGAATTTTGTAGTATTTTCGTCGTCCTTGCATTTACTTAAATTAAGGGTTTCAAATTTTTTTAAATAGAAAAACTTGAGAACATTTTCACTTGCATATTGCAATGGGATATTGTTATCATAAATTACCCCTAAAGTTAGCGTTTTTATCATGTGGATAGCAATTTTGCCAATTTTTAAAATATATCTCTTATAGTTTTGAAAGTACATAGTTCTCATGCTAACTTTTTAAAGTTCTATCATATTGACCCCCTACCATTTTAAAACCATATCATTGATATCCCTATAAAATTTGGCAAAGTTATTATCCATTTGATAAAAGTGCAAACCTTATGGTAGTTTACTAGTTTATGATAATATTCCATATTGTAATCGTCTCGAGATTCGTTCGATTCAACTCTTCCAAAGTTATCAGTCCAATACATAAACCGTTTTGTGGTTGTCCATAATTTCATCTAATTATTAATAAACTAACAAAATTGATTGTATTGACATGTTTTATGTTTAATAGTTTTATTATTATTATTCATTTTCAGTAAAACATCCCACCTGCCCTTAGTTAAATTAAATGATCAATCAGCTTGGAAATTCGGTTTTTAACTTAAAATAATTTTAAAAATTGCAAACTAATTGATAAAATTATGATCAGAGTATTGTATAGTACCTTTGAAGAAACCGTGTTTGGCATAAACCAAGTTAGTAGTTAGTCAAAGAGAAATTAATGAAATTATAATAATAATTCAAATCCTATGGCAAAGAAGTCAATGAAAATTTTAATTGGATGAACTTAAGAAAATTGGTCAAGGAAGAGTGGTTAAGGTTTTAGGCAACTAGTAGAATAATGGAGATGGGACGAGTGGTGACTTGTTAGTTGTAAGTTGTGGACCCAAGGCAGCAGGCGTATAAAAACGGCTCTCTTAGCTCATACTTCCCGTGCTCTGTAAATTAACCAAATCCCATTCAAAAACAAGCATTAGCCAGCGAAGCAGACGACAAAACTAATTTCACGCACACAGAGAGAACTCATCGTCATTGTCATCCTCGTCGTTTTGGCTGTCTCTGCTACTGTTATCTGTCGTTGAGGATTTTGCATTCGCTGTGAAATGGCGGATCAGTACACGTGGGGACTGATCTTGGGGTCGGTGCTGGGCCTGGTCGCCTTGTATAACTTGGGGCTCTTTACTTTGTATAATTTTGTTATGAGAAATAAGAGAGATTCGTTGGATACTAGAAATGATTTTTTGAAGAGCACCTCTGCTGTTAACGAAGAATGCGGATCCGAAAATTTTACTGATGCTGACGTCATCATAGTCGGTGCCGGCGTCGCTGGCGCCGCCCTGACTCACACTCTTGGCAAGGTTATTTATCATTCTTTTTGTTATCTTCGTCCATTTTCTCATTAACCAAACGGTGAATTTTTCTTTTTCGGAAACTTTGGAATGTTCTGGCGGATTATGAAGAACCTTGCGCGCTTAAATTGATTGAAACTCGAAAGATTTTTTCTAACTCGGAAGTGAAGAAGTTTTTGTTTTACATAATTGAATTCTAATTTTAATTCATGAAGCTTATCGGGTATGGAGTCATGATGTCATGGAAAACATTCTAAACTGATATGGTCATATGATGATGGTTTATTTTATTAGATTTCATGACGGATTATTTCATTTTCTATTATATTTTAATTGTTGACTTTCCAATTTAGTATATCTTACATGCTATGTATCACATCCTACTCGTTTATAACATCGTAGATTGATATATATATATATTGACAACTTTTGAGGTTTTAATTTTTGTTCTCTGTCCAAGTAGTTCATTTTAAACGTGGTCTCAGATAGATGTAAGCTTAAAATTTTATGATTTTTATGTCTGATGCTTTCTTTCTAAAATTACAAACAATGCCCTCATAGGACTTGGATTGTGACATTTTCTGAATAGAAAATTTCTTTTTTTTTTCACCTTTAATCTGATCCATTTTGGTTATCGATGACAACGGAACGCTTTATTGAATTAAAATGATGGGAATCTACTGTTTATGGCTTAAAACAGTTTAGATTTCTTGTGATACACAACCTTCTATGTTCATGGGATTTTTTTATTTGCTGCTTGTCTGTGTTTATGAGATTATGAGATGAGGCCCAACTTCCAGATATCCTTTTATATAACCCTTGTAATTGTAATGGAGTGCTAATGGATATGGACTCAACAAGCAAAATATTCCCTCACTTTTTTAAGATGAGGCGTGCACAAAATTGACATGTTTTATGTTCAGTAGTGACTTCTTTCTTTGATGCAAGTCGTTTTATACTTGACATTTGTGTAAATTTTGTTTATATTGTGGATTGATGAGCACTTATTCAAAGCAGTAGGACCACTGCTAATATTTGTTCTATCACTTGATTACATCATGCTCATTTGTTAAGGGCACACTTAATTATCATGCACTATGACCACTTGTATCACATCTTATGGTCAATTGTTTAGAGATTTAGCTCGTTTTCATGATCTCTTATGGATGCCAGTACGTACTATATCTAATTGCTAGTAATGTGTCCAGTAATGTTGAATGATTATAGAAGATTTGTTGTATTTGTCTATTATCATGTCTTATAGTCATTTTTACAAAATGCAGGATGGACGACGAGTGCATGTGATTGAAAGAGATTTGTCAGAACCTGACCGAATTGTTGGTGAATTGCTACAGCCAGGGGGTTACCTCAAATTAATTGAATTAGGACTTCAAGGTGAGTGAAATTGAAACCTTTCATTAATGTCGGAAAAGTATTTATGATACTAGTAATTGACATCAAAGAAATGATTTATTTTAGCATTTTACTTAACCTTCAAATATAGCACAAATTGGTTGTTAATGAACGTTGCATATTTTCTGCACAGATTGTTTGGAGGAAATTGATGCTCAGCGAGTTTTTGGTTATGCTCTTTTCAAGGATGGAAGAAGTACTCAATTATCATATCCATTAGAAAAGTTTCACTCAGATGTTGCAGGTAGAAGCTTTCACAATGGGCGTTTCATACAGAGGTTGAGGGCGAAAGCTGCATCTCTTCCAAAGTACATTCTATCTTCAATATAGATGTTCATTGAATGTTGGTTCGTTACGTTTTTTATATCCACATTTTGTTGCTGTTCTGAGAATGGCCAATGTTCTCATGAAAGTTTGATTAGACCTGAAAATGATTTGCATGTTTCTCTGGAAATAATTGTATTTAACGGTTGGCACGAATGGACAGCTCATTTAGTGCTGCAGTTCAGTTTGAAACCATTGCTAGTTATTATCAAAATGCAACCCCTCATACTCGCAAATAGTAGATTTTACTTTTATCATGACAGTAGTTAGTGTACAGTGATAAATCTTTTAGTAAATGCAGCCATTCTATTATTCTATTTGTATTTTCTGATTGTATGGCCACTATACACAATGGATAACTAACTGATGTAGCATTTTGTTAGAGAGTGATTGTGTTGTCTTATGCCTCTTTTTTTGTATTTTCGTTGATAGTTATACCTCTTTTGTATTATACTAGTGTGCGATTGGAGCAAGGAACGGTAACTTCACTGGTTGAAGAAAAAGGGACTATTAAAGGCGTGCAGTACAAGACTAAAGGTGGCCAAGAATTGACAGCTTATGCTCCTCTGACAATTGTTTGTGATGGCTGCTTTTCAAACTTGCGTCGCTCCCTTTGCAACCCTAAGGTGAGATTGCCTTTAATCAGTCCCTTAACAGTCACTAACAACTGAACTAAATAATTACTATATATATTACCTTACTAATTGTTTGCAATACTGAAAACTCTCATCTATCTCATTTGAGAAAACCAAATAATCTCTAGAAAGTTTTTTTATTTTTTGAAAAAAATTTGGCAGATCGATGTGCCATCTTGTTTTGTTGGTTTGGTCCTAGAAGATTGCGAACTTCCATATGCGAACCATGGGCATGTTATATTGGCAGACCCTTCCCCCATTTTGTTTTATCCTATCAGTAGCAACGAGGTCCGTTGTCTGGTTGATGTACCTGGTCAGAAGGTTCCTTCCATTTCAAGTGGTGAAATGGCAAACTATTTGAAAACAGTGGTGGCTCCTCAGGTATTATATTTTATTACATTTTTCTTCCACTTTTTGCGGGCCTTTATTTTCCACAGAATTTTTTCTTCACCTTTCACTTTAAACTTTGTATTTCATATCTGTTATATGTTTAATGGTGCCTTGAGTAATTGTGTTTTATGTTGCAGGTTCCCTCTGAAATCTACAAATCCTTTGTAGCTGCTATAGACAAAGGAAACATCAAGACTATGCCAAATAGAAGCATGCCAGCTGCTCCCCATCCTACTCCTGGAGCCCTTTTGATGGGGGATGCATTCAACATGCGCCATCCTTTAACAGGGGGAGGAATGACTGTTGCTCTGTCTGACATTGTTGTCCTGCGTGACCTTCTCAAGCCTTTACGTGATCTGAATGATGGATCAGCACTCTGCAATTACCTTGAATGCTTTTACACCTTGCGTAAGGTATGTTGTCTTTCTGGTATTCCAGTTGTCTTATAGGCTTTTCTATCTTCCACTATGATTCTTACTGGTTGTCAAATGGAGGAAATTATTTCTCATTAAAGTTTGTTATCTTTGGATATTATTAAAAATAGATATGTAAACTTCTCTGTTCATCCTTTGGCACAAAGATAGCATTCTGTATGACATTTAAACTTAGGTACCTGTGATTTTTGAATTTACAGCCAGTTGCATCGACGATCAATACATTGGCTGGTGCCTTGTACAAGGTGTTTTGTGCTTCCCCTGATGAAGCAAGCAAGGAAATGCGTGAAGCTTGCTTTGACTATCTAAGTCTTGGAGGAATATGCTCATCAGGACCAGTCTCTCTGCTCTCGGTCTAAATCCTCATCCATTGAGCTTGGTTTTCCATTTTTTTCGCTGTTGCAATTTACCGTTGGTCGCTTGTTACTGCCATTTCCTTTCCCTCATCGGTTTGGATCGGAGCCAGAATAATTTCAGTGTGTAGTTTTAGTCTTTCTTCTTTTCATTTCTTGTCACCCTCTATTCTGGTAATCAAATATCTTTTTTTGTAATTTATTCTGATTATTTCAAATGTTAAATTTCTCTTTCCAGGGTGCATCAGGAATATCTTTCCTATTATAAGGGCAGAAGGGTAAGGCAGATGTCTTCCCCGCAACTGTTCCTGCATATTACAGAGCTCCTCCTGTTACAGATAGCTGATTAGAGTCCAAAAAAAATGAAATACACTTCCGCTTCAGAATTTACTTCTGTTGGAAATACTAAAGTCATACCGTCATTTGTGTCCCTTTTTTTTCCAAGTTACGGGGAGGTGAAAAGCTTCAAGAAGATGTGCTTGTGCAACACATTGTTTTGTAGGATTTATATGTTTGGGGTGTTAATATAAACCTTTGTATGAAAATTGAGTCATATATTTTTCAAAATTGCGGAATAATCAAGCCTCATCTTAGTTCAGTTTTTACTGGTCCGTTGATTGTCTACTAGTTTGTACCTTGTCTTTTTCATTTACCACCGTAATTTTTGGGTATCAAATCAGTTTTACTGCTCCAAAACTTTGTTCTTCCCCGACCTAAAGGCATGCTAGCAGTGCGCGGCAATTGGGGCACAAGAAGCCTTCTCCAGCCAGATAGAAATGCATTGTGCATGAAAGAGATGCGCAGGGAAGCGTGTAGCTCTATGCCCAACAGACAAAGCTTCTGAACAAATTGAACAGTCTTTCTCTGGGTCTGAAACCTCTCCTGTGCCGCCCTAACGCTACTGGTGTGGCCAAGTTCCAGGTACTGGGTTGCAAAAATTCATCATCCACACAATGCCACCGGTGGAATTTATGATAACCAGTCCATTGCAATTGGCAGGAATTTCTATAACGATGTCTGGGGTCACTGTAATCAAATGAACCTGCTCGTAGACATGATATGCCAAACTCGCAGGGAGTCATTTGTGGTGACTGAGCGTTGACGTAGAGATTGATGAGTCAGCTACATTAGGCCAAACTAAATGGAAACCATTGGGGCATAAAATTCGGCCAGTAGGTTGAATTAGCACTTCCCCATGAGAAAGAATGTCAAGCAGAATTGAACAATACCCCCGTTTGGAAAAAGTTGCCACCTTCCATGTAGAAAACTTGTAAGATGTGTGTTTTTGTACTAGCCTTTGATACTCACCATGTAGATCACGCATTTTACCCCCATCGAATTAGAAAACCAGGAGGGATAGATCCCAGTTATAATAATCTCTTCTTTTCTTGGAATATCAACGCATTTGGCCATCTTTCACAGAAGTTGAAGTTAAAGTGGAGGAAAAGATGTGGCGAGGAATTTAGGGAGGGGATTAGGAAACAGAAAAGGAATCCAATCCCTATCCTTTGTTTCTAGGGTCTGCTTGCATGTTTCTTTTCACCGGTTTTGAGAGATTTTTTATTGGACGGGTTCAGGTCTTCTAAAACTATTATTTGCTAGATTTTTTATGCATCGGTGTTGATTGGCTCAAAAACCTTCTCCGAACCAGTTAGTATATTTTTGAGAGGTTTATAAAATACTTCAAATCGGGGTTTTTTTGGTTAGTTTTAAAATTTATTTCACAAATACCCTATCCACTACAAAACTATTCTATTATATCTAAAAAAAAAAAAAATTAATCATATTATGCACGTCTCCAATCATATTAATATAAAATAATTTTAAGCAATAAAAAAATATTTAATCTCTCATTTCTAGATGCTTTCTTAGAGAAATGGAGTTACAATTTTTCAATCATTCCATATACTGTAAAAAATGGCAAAAAAGGATAAGAAGATTTTATCACATTTAAAGTTATAAATACTAATAAGTAGAAAAACAATAAAGAAGTCTTACCTTCAATTGAAAAAACAAAACTCTCAAGAATTGGTTAAAGTTTGATATTTTTATGAGCATATATGTAAATTTATCATTTTAAAAAACTGTCAAAACCGTTGGAAAATAACTATAAACTCTCAAGTATAAGTTAGGTGTTTTAAAAACCGTTATTAAAAACCTCTCAAAACTGTTACGGTGGTTTACCCTTAAAACTACTATAAGCTATAGTGATTTATCCTCGTAACCGTTACCATGAAACTCTGAGAAAGGATTTTTACTACCCCTTGATGGAATATCTATTCATTAAATTTAAATATGGCCAGAAGAATACTAACCAAAAAAACAAAGAGAGACAAATACTAAGGTCCTTAAAAATCTTAGAGGGTAAAACAAAAAGTGATGTCTGTCAATACTGACAAACCAGAAGTGTAATTGATCTTACAATATAGCTTTGAGTTTTGACCCATTTAATTCTCAAGCTATCTTCCCATTGATTAATGGCGACTGATAAACCTTCAATTTGATTTGGCATACCAGTCAACGTTCAAGCTATCTTAAAACATTAATTACCCTCATCAATGGGATATCTAAAAGATTTTACGTCATAAAATGAAAATTCTCTATCTTCAGTTCAGCCCTTCAAATTTAAAATCTGCTAATGAAAGAACAAATCAACAATTTACTGCAGTAATATGGAACTAAGCTTGCCTAAGAATAAATGCAAATAAACTGAAACATCATCTCAATCATACAAATTTCCAGTTCAATCTACAAGACATCTTTTTTTTAAGAATAATTTCCGGAAAACAATCATTAAAAAAAAAAAAAAAAGGAACTTCACACATACTTCCTTCCTCTAATCTACAAGACCCATTGAAAACAATCATGACTAATCAAAGTCTCATTTTGATGTCTGAATATACATAAATGCTTTGTGATTCTACCAAGTCGTTTTCTTCTGCTAAAAGTTCGAAGAACAAACAGTAAGGAGCTGAGAACCTATACAACTGTTTCTTTCTTTTTCTATTTCTTTTCCTTTTCTAAATGAGTTAAAATGTGCAGTCAACTTGAAACTTTTGGATTCTCTGTTAGCAGGACCTTAAGCCCCTTCACACTTCCAATTTATCAGAGCTCTGATTTCAACCGCGCTGCTTAAAACAAAGAATTTCAACATAAGAAAATGGTGCGAAATTAAGATCAACTTTAGTTAATTACTTGCCCTTACCATGTGGTCCCAAACTGTCAACAGCTGAACCGGAATCGAACCCCATTTGGAAAAGACTCTGGAGCTCAGGGTCTAATATAGTCTACATGTATAAAAACATGTATTCTATTAATATTTTTGACAAGCAACAAACAAAATATGAGAGAAGTATAATACAAAAATCTTTGATTTACCTGATGCAAGGGAGGAAATTGTGGATTAGCAGTAGGGATACTTGGCATGGTTCCTTGGAAAATTCCATGTGAGTAAGGTTGAGAGGAGTTCATTCCAGAACTGAATCCGAGAATAGCTGCACCCCCACTACGTGAATGGAGAATCTACACACAAGATATTTAGAATTCATTTAGTAACTAAACAGTTCAAAGATAATTAATGAAAATAAGATAAATTTCATGTTTTGAGCAAAATTTAGACCTTTTTACTTACATCTTTGGATAGAATCCTTTCAATATCAATGTTCAATTCAGGGTTGACAGTAGCAAGTTTCATCGACAGAAACTGTAACAGCAAAGCAAAAGCAAGCATAAACTTTGTCAATTATGTAGAACATACAAAAGTAAACAAGTAAAATAGGAATACTCAGTTACAACAATGAATTAATAAAAGTGCGATAATTTTCAATATCAAGTCCCGGAATTTAGTATAATTTGCTATTATACAAAAGTAGTGCTCCTAATAACAAGAGCTCATATTAATTCCACCCATTTAACAAGGGCACCATGAAAAGGGAAAAACTGTTGTCAGCAAGTCAGAGTCCCATAAGAATCTGACAAGGAAGATAAACATCAAAGAGATCCAAAACAACAATTTAGAAACCATAAAATGGCTGATGTGACAACTGAATTATTATTATTATTATTATTATTTTTTATTTTTTTTTAAGTACATTGCTTATCTTATGTGCAAAGATATGATATATTGAACTCAGCTCCTTAAAAGTGCATGATTATATCTGATACAAGCTAGGTAATTTCTGAAAGACATTTTCTTAATATACCATTCAACTGAAAATCTTAATCTAATGGATCAAAAACAATCACAACCAACAAACAATGAACACAGCTTATAACAAGGGATATTAAAATTTTTGACTAAATAAGAAATTAAATATAACATACCTCAACCTGCTGTTGCAGTGACTGCACATAATTGATAATTTCATCAAGCATGACTGCTTTACCAGTGATCTAAAACAAAACAGAAGCATAGAAAAATCAATTGGTTGATGAAATAAAAAAATTAGAGAAATAACAATTGGTTGACAACCTAGGCCCTATCTATTACCTTATTGCATCCAGGAACAAGTTCTTGAAGCAATCTCATCCGCTCACTAATCTTTTCCCTTCTCACCTGCAAGCATGTCAAATGGTTCAACCAAAAGATAAACCAAAGCATTTGGTTAATTGAGTTTGTTAATACTAGGATGTACCCTCTCTGCAAGGCTGTGACTATTAGTAGCCTGGCCCCTTTTGGCTCTCACATGAATATATTCTTTAGGAGCCTCGACACTATTAGAACTGTCTTTAGCTTGTTTAGCAGCTTGTTTACCACGCGAATTTGCACCTGTGTTTTGTTCAATTTTTGGTTTCTTCTCATCTTGTTCTTTCACAGTACCAGAACTCTCTCCAGAGGGATCCTTTTGACGCTCTTCATTGGCATTCTACAAAGAATACCAAAGCAGTTAACTCAGAAAGGATTACGAAACAAAATCAACAGAATCCAAATCTTCAACTTTCTTACTGTTAAGACAATTATGCAAGTCACTGTACCTTATCGGGATTGGAAGGAGAACTTGACTCAGGTGCTCGTTTTCTTGTCTTTCCATTGGTTGAAGCTCCTATGGCTGCCTCCTCTGAGATTTGACGGTCCTCAAAACATTGTGCCACATTTGTTGAAGTCCTCTCATTTCCACTGTCCTTATTTGGAGTATAATTTGGAGGACACCCACTATTAGCAATACGCGCAGTCTCAGGTAAGCCAAAGGAACTAACCATTTCTGAGAAGTTGCCACTTCCAAAGACTGGAATCTTTGGCACAAGCTCAACAAAACTTGGATCAGATGGATACTGAGCTAAGTTGGCGGTGCTACTAATAACCTGGTTTTCCATTACAACAGGGTAAGGAGAAGTAGCAAATTCACAATGAGAAACCATTGAAGAAACTCCAAAGTTTTCACCCTGACTCAAAGAAACGATCGGATCCCAACCAGAACCAAAGAAATGGTCTGCTCCACTTGAAGACTTATACGTGGACATTGAGTTCATTGACATTCCCGAAACCTTCTGAGGCAATGGGTTTGTATTCATCCCTGAAGATGGACAATTCATTACACTCTCNTTATGTGCAAAGATATGATATATTGAACTCAGCTCCTTAAAAGTGCATGATTATATCTGATACAAGCTAGGTAATTTCTGAAAGACATTTTCTTAATATACCATTCAACTGAAAATCTTAATCTAACGGATCAAAAACAATCACAACCAACAAACAATGAACACAGCTTATAACAAGGGATATTAAAATTTTTGACTAAATAAGAAATTAAATATAACATACCTCAACCTGCTGTTGCAGTGACTGCACATAATTGATAATTTCATCAAGCATGACTGCTTTACCAGTGATCTAAAACAAAACAGAAGCATAGAAAAATCAATTGGTTGATGAAATAAAAAAATTAGAGAAATAACAATTGGTTGACAACCTAGGCCCTATCTATTACCTTATTGCATCCAGGAACAAGTTCTTGAAGCAATCTCATCCGCTCACTAATCTTTTCCCTTCTCACCTGCAAGCATGTCAAATGGTTCAACCAAAAGATAAACCAAAGCATTTGGTTAATTGAGTTTGTTAATACTAGGATGTACCCTCTCTGCAAGGCTGTGACTATTAGTAGCCTGGCCCCTTTTGGCTCTCACATGAATATATTCTTTAGGAGCCTCGACACTATTAGAACTGTCTTTAGCTTGTTTAGCAGCTTGTTTACCACGCGAATTTGCACCTGTGTTTTGTTCAATTTTTGGTTTCTTCTCATCTTGTTCTTTCACAGTACCAGAACTCTCTCCAGAGGGATCCTTTTGACGCTCTTCATTGGCATTCTACAAAGAATACCAAAGCAGTTAACTCAGAAAGGATTACGAAACAAAATCAACAGAATCCAAATCTTCAACTTTCTTACTGTTAAGACAATTATGCAAGTCACTGTACCTTATCGGGATTGGAAGGAGAACTTGACTCAGGTGCTCGTTTTCTTGTCTTTCCATTGGTTGAAGCTCCTATGGCTGCCTCCTCTGAGATTTGACGGTCCTCAAAACATTGTGCCACATTTGTTGAAGTCCTCTCATTTCCACTGTCCTTATTTGGAGTATAATTTGGAGGACACCCACTATTAGCAATACGCGCAGTCTCAGGTAAGCCAAAGGAACTAACCATTTCTGAGAAGTTGCCACTTCCAAAGACTGGAATCTTTGGCACAAGCTCAACAAAACTTGGATCAGATGGATACTGAGCTAAGTTGGCGGTGCTACTAATAACCTGGTTTTCCATTACAACAGGGTAAGGAGAAGTAGCAAATTCACAATGAGAAACCATTGAAGAAACTCCAAAGTTTTCACCCTGACTCAAAGAAACGATTGGATCCCAACCAGAACCAAAGAAATGGTCTGCTCCACTTGAAGACTTATACATGGACATCGAGTTCATTGACATTCCCGAAACCTTCTGAGGCAATGGGTTTGTATTCATCCCTGAAGATGGACAATTCATTACACTCTCATTTCTATTCTGAAATCCCGTATCATCATTATCACCACCATCCATGTTTTCGTCTCAAAACTTAAACCCAAAGGATGAGAACTATCTATAACTGAAACAAAACCTCTACTCAATAGCTGGCCCAGACGAGGACTAAAAATAGATATCAAACAGAAGCAAGCAACTGGTGTATAAAACAAAAGGCAAAGTGGGGTTTGACCAGAATTAGCTGGTGATATCTTGCACGACTCGACAAGGAACAAATAACCTTGGCAGCTTTATAGGATTGATAGGATGTTAAAGTAAAAGAAACCCCTCAGAACAGCATCCCAGAGACACAAAGTAAAAGGAGAAATCCAATCTATCAGGCATAATATCTAACAAGCACCAGCTTACTTCATCTTTCAAAAACCCTAGGATCAAGTCTACTCTGATATGCAAGCTAAAAGAGGAAATGCTTCACACAGACAAGAAAGTGAACCTTTCAGAGCATAAAGTACACATAGACAAACTATATCTTAGCTAAGTAACAGCTCACCAGACTAATAAAAAGAAAGCAGATTCCCTTTTTCTCTTTTGCTTATAGGAGATATAATTTTTCACATTCTCCACTCAATTAAATACCAATGTGATTGATTGATGTTAGTAGGCTTGAATCTCTTCAAATGAAACCCAATTGAGGAGGATAAACACAAGATTTGAGCTATTGATATCAAAATGAAGGAGGTGTTTAGAGCAGTCTAATGAGGAAAAAGGAAAGTTTACTTGTTCAAGTTTTGAATCAAGTCCCAACAGCTTCCAAGAACCATAAAAAAAAAAGGAAGTTGGAGAAACCCTTTTGAGGTATTCCCTGATAGGTACCTAAAAAAGGCTAAAAAGCATCAAATTCTACTTAAATTATGCAAATACTGGAATGGGGAGAGTTTTATTTCACAGCCCCTAAAGTGGGAAGGAACTCACACATACTTCTTCCTCTAATCTACCAGACCCATTGAAAACAATCATGACTAATCAAAGTTCTTTTGATGTCTGATATACATAAATGCTTTGTGATTTACCAAGTCGTTTCTTCTGCTAAAAGTTCGAAGAACAAACAGTAAGGAGCTGAGAACCTATACACCGTTTCTTTCTTTTTCTATTTCTTTTCCTTTTCAAATGAGTTAAAATGTGCAGTCAAACTTGAAACTTTTGGATTCTCTGTTAGCAGGACCTTAAGCCCCTTCACACTTCCAATTTATCAGAGCTCTGATTTCAACCGCGCTGCTTAAAACAAAGAATTTCAACATAAGAAAAGGTGGAATTAAGATCAACTTTAGTTAATTACTTGCCCTTACCACTGTCAACAGCTGAACCGGAATCGAACCCATTTGGAAAAGCTTGGAGCTCAGGGTCTATATAGTCTACATGTATGAAAACATGTATGTATTAATATTTTGACAAGCAACAGCAAAATATGGAGAGGTATATACAAAATTTGATTTACCTGATGCAAGGGAGGAAATTGTGGATTAGCAGTAGGGATACTTGGCATGGTTCCTTGGAAAATTCCATGTGAGTAAGGTTGAGAGGAGTTCATTCCAGAACTGAATCCGAGAATAGCTGCACCCCACTACGTGAATGGAGATCTACACACAAGATATTTAGAATTCATTATAACTAAACAGTTCAAAGATATTAATGAAATAAGATAAATTTCATGTTGAGCAAAATTTAGACCTTTTTACTTACATCTTTGGATAGAATCCTTTCAATATCAATGTTCAATTCGGGGTTGACAGTGCAAGTTCATCGACAGAAACTGAACAGCAAAGCAAAAGCAAGCATAAACTTTGTCAATTATGTAGAACATACAAAAGTAAACAAGTAAAATAGGAATACTCAGTTACAACAAGAATTAATAAAAGTGCGATAATTTTAATATCAAGTCCCGAATTTAGTATAATTTGCTATTATAGAAAAGTAGTGCTCCTAATAACAAGGCTCATATTATTCCACCCATTTAACAAGGGCACCATGAAAAGGGAAAAACTGTTGTCAGCAAGTCAGAGTCCATAAGAATCTGACAAGGAAGATAAACATCAAAGAGATCAAAAAACAATTTAGAAACCATAAAATGGCTGATGTGACAACTGATTATTATTATTTTTAAGTACATTGCTTATTGCTTCTTCTCCATTTTTGGTAGACCCAATTGTGCTTACAATTTGGGGAGTATATGGGTTTTTTTCTGTTTCTTTAAGGACTCAGCCATTATAACTTAATCGGGAATGGCAAGGAATGAAAAAAATGCAAAGAGCAAAGAAATTGAGAAATTGCAGAAAATTGGAAGAAAAAATGAGAGAGAGAAAGAACCTGAGAGAAATGTGTTCTGCCTTTCAAATTTTAAATCAACTTCTCTTTATTATACTCTAACCCACAAATGTTTAAATCTTTTCACCTAAATCATTTTTGCTGCTTTAATTACACTTAAGTATGTCACGTCATATTTTTTAACCCAAAAAAAAATCAAAAAGATTTTCATGGCCATTTTGTTAAATGGGAACTTGGGATGGCCGGACAGCTAAATTTCCTTGTTGTTTCTTAGGGTCTGCTTGGATGTTTCTTTTCATCGGTTTTGAGAGATTTTTATTGGACTGGTATTGAGGTGTTATAAAACTATTATTTGCTAGATTTTTATGCACTTATTTTGATTGGCTCAAAAACCTCTTCCGAACCAGTGTAGTATATTTTTTAGAGGTTTATAAAACAGCCAAAATTGGGGTTTTTTGGTTAGTTTTAAAATTCATTCCACAAATACCCTATCCACTACAAAACTATTATAATTATATCAAAAAAAAAAATCATATTATGCACGTCTTCAATCATATTAAATATAAAATAATTTTAAGTAATCATAAATTATTTTTTATTAAAATCTCATTTCTAGATGCTTTCTTGGAGAAGTGGAGCTACAAGTTTTCAATCATTCTATATACTGCAAAGAATGACAAAAAATGATAAGAAGATTTTATTATATTTGAAGTTATAAAATACTAATAAGTAGAAAACAAATAAAGAACTCTTACTTTGTAATTGAAAAAACAAAACTCCAAAGAATTGGTTAAAGTTTGGTATTTTTATGAGCATATATGTAAATTTATCATTTTAAAAAACTGTCAAAACCGTTGGAAAATTAACTCTCAAACATAGATCAGGTGTTTTAAATAACACTACTAAAAACCTCTCAAAATCGTTAGTTTACCCTTAAAACTGTTACGGTGATTTATCCACCATCAAACTTTTAAGGATTTTAAGGAGGGGGATTTTTACCATCCCCTGTGGGGATATCTATTCATTAAATTTATATATGGCCAGAAGAATACTAACCAAAAAAAAAAAAAAAAAAAGAGACAAATACTAAGGTCCTAACAAATCTTAGAGGGTAAAACAAAAAGTGATGTCTGTCACTACTGACAAACCAGAAGTATAATTGATCTTATAATATATCTTTGAGGTTTGACCCATTTAATTCTCAAGCTATGTTCCCATTGATTAATGGCGACTGATGAACCTTCAATTTGATTTGGCATACCAGTCAACGTTCAAGCTGCTATCTTAAAACATTAATTACCCTCATCAATGGGATATCTAAAAGATTTTACGTCCTAAAATTTGGCATACCAGTCAACGTTCAAGCTGCTATCTTAAAACATTAATTACCCTCATCAATGGGATATCTAAAAGATTTTACGTCCTAAAATGAAAATTCTGTGTCTTCAGTTCAGCCCTTCAAATTTAAAATCTGCTAATGAAAGAGCAAATCAACAATTTACTGCAGTAAAATGGAACTAAGCTTGCCTAAGAATAAATGCAAATAAACTGAAACATCATCTCAATCATACAAATTTCCAGTTCAATCTACAAGACATCTTTTTTTTAAGAATAATTTCCGGAAAACAATCATTAAAAAAAAAAAAAAAAGGAACTTCACACATACTTCCTCCTCTAATCTACAAGACCCATTGAAAACAATCATGACTAATCAAAGTCCATTTTGATGTCTGAATATACATAATGCTTTGTGATTCTACAAGTCGTTTTCTTCTGCTAAAAGTTCGAAGAACAAACAGTAAGGAGCTGAGAACCTATACAACTGTTTCTTTCTTTTTCTATTTCTTTTCCTTTTCTAAATGAGTTTAAAATGTGCAGTCACTTGAAACTTTTGGATTCTCTGTTAGCAGGACCTTAAGCCCCTTCACACTTCCAATTTATCAGAGCTCTGATTTCAACCCGCGCTGCTTAAACAAATTTCAACATAAGAAAATGGTGCGAATTAAGATCAACTTTAGTTAATTACTTGCCCTTACCACTGTTTAACAGCTGAACCGGAATCGAACCCCATTTGGAAAAGACTCTGGAGCTCAGGGTCTAATATAGTCTACATGTATAAACATGTATTCATTATATTTTGACAAGCAACAAACAAATATGAGAGAGGTATATACAAAATCTTTGATTTACCTGATGCAAGGGAGGAAATTGTGGATTAGCAGTAGGGATCCTTGGCATGGTTCCTGGGAAAATTCCATGTGAGTAGGTTGAGAGGATTTCATTCCAGAACTGAATCCGAGAATAGCTGCACCCCCACTACGTGAATGAGAATCTACACACAAGATATTTAGAATTCATTACTAAACTACAGTTCAAAGATAATTAATGAAAATAAGATAAATTTCATGTTTTGAGCAAAATTTAGACCTTTTTACTTACATCTTTGGATAGAATCCTTTCAATATCAATGTTCAATTCGGGGTTGACAGTGCAAGTTTCATCGACAGAAACTGTAACAGCAAAGCAAAAGCAGCATAAACTTTGTCAATTATGTAGAACATACAAAAGTAAACAAGTAAAATAGGAATACTCAGTTACAACAAGAATTAATAAAGCGATAATTTTCAATATCAAGTCCCGAAATTAGTATAATTTGCTATTATAAAAAGTATGCTCCTAATAACAAGAGCTCATATTAATTCCACCCATTTAACAAGGGCACCATGAAAAGGGAAAAACTTTGTCAGCAAGTCAGAGTCCCATAAGATCTGACAAGGAAGATAAACATCAAGAGATCCAAAACAACAATTTAGAAACCATAAAATGGCTGAGTGTGACAACTGATTATTATTATTTTTATTATTTTTTTTAAGTACTGCTTATCTTGTGCAAAGATATGTATATTGAACTCAGCTCCTTAAAAGTGCATGATTATATCTGATACAAGCTAGGTAATTTCTGAAAGACATTTTCTTATATACCATTCAACTGAAAATCTTAATCTAGGATCAAAACACATCACAACCAACAAACAATGAACACAGCTATAACAGGGATATTAAAATTTTGACTAAATAAGAATTAAATATAACATACCTCAACCTGCTGTTGCAGTGACTGCACATAATTGATAATTTCATCAGCATGACTGCTTTACCATGATCTAAAACAAAACGAAGCATAGAAAATCAATTGGTTGATGAAATAAAAAATTAGAGAAATACCATTGGTTGACAACCTAGGCCCTATCTATTACCTTATTGCATCCAGGAACAAGTTCTTGAAGCAATCTCATCCGCTCACTAATCTTTTCCCTTCTCACCTGCAAGCATGTCAATTGTTCAACCAAAAGATAAACCAAAGCATTTGGTTAATTGAGTTTGTTAATACTAGGATGTACCCTCTCTGCAAGGCTGTGACTATTAGCCTGGCCCCTTTTGGCTCTCCACATGATATATCTTTAGGAGCCTCGACACTATTAGAACTGTCTTTAGCTTGTTTAGCAGCTTGTTTCCACGAATTTGCACCTGTGTTTTGTTCAATTTTTGGTTTCTTCTCATCTTGTTCTTTCACAGTACCAGAACTCTCTCCAGGGATCCTTTTGAGACGCTCTTCATTGGCATTCTACAAGAA